GCAGTGTATTTCAGTACATCTGCCTGTTCTTCTCCCCACCCTGTTTCTGGTGAATCCTTTTACCACCTCACATTTCTGGTATGTATCCCAGTTCTTATATGCATAAATAATAAATGTTTTTTTTAAAGATTTATTTATGTTTACAGACCTGGGGTACAGGCCAGAGGTGTGGTGGGTGAGAGGACTCACCAGAGATACAATGGGGAGAAGAACAGGCAGATCTACTGAGGTATATGGCTGAGGGGAGGAATGGGTGGGTCAGGAGAGGTCTGCCATATCATGTAGGTCATCTTCCTGATGGGGGATTGAACTTGTGCTGCAGTGGCTTTGGAGAGCTTCATAATGCGGTGCTTTAACCCATTGCACCACCAGGGAGGGCCCTCATAAATAGTAAATCTTAAAAAAATAACAAAACCCAAGTTCCTAGAAAAAGAGATCAGATGGTTACCAGAGTTAGGTGAAAAGAAGGGGGGACCAGAGGAAGGTAGCATAACTTCCAGTTATAGGATAAATGAGTTCCAGGAATATAACATACAACACAATGACGATAGTCAGCACTGTTTATGATCTATGGGAAAGTTGTTAAGAGAGTACGTCTTAAGATTTGTCATTACAATGAGAAATGTTTTCTGTTTTTCATTTTTCTTTTCATTGTATCAACATGAAATGATGCATGTTAGTGAAACCTATTGTAATTGTTTTCCAATCTATGAAAATCCAGCCACCATGCTGTGTGCCTTAAACATATGCAGTTATGTATGTCGGTTATTAGTCAACAAAACTGGAAAAAAATGTCTTCACTATTACTTTAGTGGGCTTGAGGACAGAGCAAATAATAAACCCAGCATGGGTAGCCAGAAGTTTTACCATATGTATGATCATTCATGGACCTTCTTTCTTCATTCTCTGGAATCTCAAACCACAACAAAATGTTTAAGGGAAAGCATTTCTTTAATCTCTACATATGTGAAAATTGGAGGGATAGAGAGAGATGTAGTAGGGAGATAAAGAATAGGATTTGTTGATTCAAAGCCAATACGCTATTATACCTCTCTGTTGCCATGAGGGAGTTAAACAGTTGTTAATACTGCACGTAGCACTCAGAAAGAGAGCTGCCCAAAGTACTGACAGTCCACATCAACAGCTGTGAGAATATTTAAAGCCTCTGATGTGGTATGAAGTGCCACTCTCAAGATTTTATTCTAAGAAGTAACAAAGTGAACTTTAATTTTTGAGAAAATGGTAGATCAAATATATAATTTTGAAGATTTATTTATTTAGGTGTACAAGAACTGGGGTATAGGCCAGAAAAGCAGGGAGGTGAGAGAATTCACCAGAGACAGAGTAGGGAGCAGAACCAGCAGATCTGCTGAAATCCACTGCTGAGGGGAACAATGGCTGCTGGGTCAGGAGATGTCTGTTGCGTCGTGTTGGGTCAGTTCCCTGGCTGGGAATCGAACTCGTGCTGTAGTAGCTATGGATTGCAGCCACAAGGGAGGGCCCTGGTAGACCAAATATTAAGAAAAAGCATCCCACTTAAAAAAAAAACATATAAAATCTAGATAAAATATATTTGTAAAAATGTATTTTTAAAAAGCACAATTGAGTGTGTAAAAAAAAAAAAGCCTCAGGAATGAAAAATAAAGAGGACCCATAGACTAACAAGGTAAGTGATTGACTGATGTCCCGAGCATATTTGTCATTACCAGAGACCTTAAATCTCAAGTTTTATTTTTATTTATATTTTCCAAATATTTATTTATGCATACAAAAACTGAGGTACAGCCCAGAGGTGCAGGGGTGAGAGGATTCACCAAGACAGTGGGGAGCAGAACAGGCTGATGGACTGAAATACACAGCTGAGGTGGGGGAGCAGCGGGTGAGACAGGAGAGGTCTGACGTGCCGTGTGGGTCACCTTCCTGGCCAGGGATCAAGTCAGGCCACAGTGGCTGGCAATAGCTTGATAGCGCTGAGACTGGAACCCCTGTGCCACTAGGGAGGCCCAAACATCAAGTTTTAATGATCTCATTTGAGTGATGTACAAGATCTTGGGTGCAGGGGTGGCAGGAAGTTGGATCTCTGCAGAAAGCCAGATTCCCAAAAGACAAAGATAAATGACATGGAGATAGAATAGAGAGAAGATGTGGGGAGTCAGTCTTCTTCAATATAACAGAAGAGCACAAAATAGGAAGAGAAAATCTTAGAAGTTGCTACAGTGGGAAAAGACGGCGTATAAAAGGAACTACTGTGCTGGTAGTGACAGCCAGAAGCTAATGGAACAATAACTTCATATTTTCGAGAGACAACAACTGTCAAAGTAGAATTTGATACCTTCCTAAAGTATGTATTTAAGGGCCTTCCTGCTGGTGCAAGGGGGTTAACTCTCAGCATTATGAAGCTCTCTGCAGCCACTGCAGTACAAGTTCGATCTCCTGTCCCCTATCCTAGGCCAGGGAGCTGACCCAGATGGCGCAGCAGGCTTCTCCTGTCTTGTCTGCTGCTCCCCTCAGCAGTGTATTTCAGTAGATCCACCTGTTGTTATGAATTGTATAGGGACCTAATAATATCTTCAAGTAACATAAGACAAAAATTGATAGAATTATGAAGTGAAATTGACAAGTATCTTACCATAGGAGGATATAACATACACCTTTTTCAGTCATTGAAGTCACATAGATAAAAATAAGTAGCGGCCCTCCCTGGTGGCGCAGCGGGTTAAAGCACAGCACTGAGAAGCTAAAGCCACTTCCGCATGAGTTCGATTCCCGCCTGCCCCGGAGGTGACCACATGGCGTGGCAGACCTCTCCTGACCCGCCCGCTGCTCCCCTCAGCAGTGTACTCCGTCGATCTGCCTGTTCTGCTCTCCACTCTGTCTCTGGTGAAGCCTCTCACCACCCCAAGCCTCTGGCCTGTACCCCAGTTCTGTATGTACAAATAAATAAATCTTTAAAAAAAAAATAAGTAGCATATAGAAAATAGCGTACAATTAACAAATGTGATCAAAAGGACATGTACAAAGTTGACCATGCACTTGGCTATTATACAGGCATTCTCAACAAGTTTCCCTGAATCAGTATCATATAAATCATGTACTCTGAATAGCACGATTATGTTAAAAATAAATGGAAAGATAACCGAAAGAAAACCACATATGAAGATGATCATCCTAGTGTTGATTTATGTACAAGAGAATAACTGAAATATGCAATGATATGGGTACAGTTAAGTAAGTTAAATGTTTTCAACCCACTGGGTTATCATATGCCATTACCAATTCTTTTTTGAAATGAACTGTTTAAGATATAATGTTAAGTGAATAAAAAATGTAAGTCTGTATATTACTTACCTTTACAGTTATGTGAAAGTATGTGTTCATTTAGACAGATTAGAAAGATATAAGCAAATGAAAAGTTGTTAAATTATGGTGATGCATTATGCATAACTCAACTTTTAAAAGGACTTTCTGTGATGTGGCTACAATTGTTTAATGTGAGTTACCAGAACCAATAGGAAACACAATCGCTGTCTAACAGCCGAGCCTGGTTATGCCTTAATATCCACTGCCCTTTTCTTTTATAACAATAGCATTTTAGTTGGGTACATAACTGCTCCAAACAAGAGGACTTCCCAGCTTCCCTTGCAACTAGGCATTAGAATGAAATATGAGAAGTGCATGCTCTTAACAGAGACTGCCCGTCCTTTGTTGTTTTCTTTCATCTTGCTACCTGAAATCTTCCTTAGCTTTGTTGTTATTGCATGTACTATGGGTAGACTAAATATAATATGCATTTGATTGCAATTTAATGAATGAGAATATGTGACTAATGAGAACAAAAACATGTTTTTCTATTCAACCAGTGTCCAGTACAAGCTTTGAAAACAAGAAGCTTATCCATTCTATTTTTGGATATCAAATAAGGATGTATGAACATTAAAGAGTGCACTCTTATAAGTATATTCTAGTGGGAATCGTACACATTTACTGCAGTTTTCTTTATCATTTAATTTTAGCTGAGGATGAGATCCATTTATAAGCTGCTTTGCCTGAATAAAATCAGCAGCCAGCCTCCACATTTTTAAATGTTAAGCAAAATCAAAAATTATCTTTTTAAAGTTCAATAAATATAGCCTTGTTTCTGGTAAGGTTTGATATAATTCAATAGATTAGATCACAAACATATCAATAATTTGTAATGCATCAGGAAGGTGTTTATCAGTTCTAAAGGAAACTGATACATTCCACTGAAAAAAGTCTTTATACTTGAAAAAAATCCAAAGTATAACATTAAGGCTGCGGCAACATTCTGGCCCAGGTGCTTAGATGCTCAGTAGATTAGGGGGCTGCTGTGTGGTGCTACTGTAGCAACAAACTCATTAGCATTATTATTATCATTCAGAATAGGTCAATCACAGGCTGTTCTGTAAAAACAAGATGCTGCTAAAAGAAAAAACTCTGGAGGCTGACTCAAGAGCAGTCCTTTATTCAGTGAATTCTAATATTTATGCTAAGTACGGCCTGTTCAGATAGTTCTTTTAAATGATGGAAAATCAAAATTGAATAAAGTTCCAGGAACTAATTTACTCCCATTGCTGGAATAAAACTCAGATGCCTAGTTCCAGGGCATCTAGTTGAAGTAATTTATTCGGATTAAAATTCTGTCAGTAAAAAATATTTGTACCTATGTAATACCCAAAACTTGCTACATGTTTGGTAAAAAGAGCACACCACTGGGCTTCCCTGGTGGCACAGGGGTTAAAGCCTCAGTGTTCAAGCTATTACCAGCCACTGCAGCCTGAGTTCGATCCTGGCCAGGGAGCTGACTCACATGGCGCAGCAGACTTCTCTTGTCCCACCAGCTGCTCCCCTCAGCAGTGGATTTCAGTGGATCTGCCTGTTCTGCTCCCCACTCTGTCTCTGGTGAATCCTCTCAACCCTCACACCTGGGGCTGGACCCCCCCCTTCTTGTATGCCTAAGTAAACAAATCTCTAAAGAAAAAAAAAAGAGTACATGGGGGCTTGCTGGTATCTTGTTGTCCTTTAATACACAGGCTACACATTTGTAGAAAGACAAGCAGATTGTTAAGTAACTTGGCTTTCTGTCAATTAGCTGTGCATTAATACAATTAATCACTGATGTACATGTCCTGACACCAGGAAAATAGTTTTTCTTCTTTTTCCATTTCATCGTCTGAACTCAGTTCATTAATTTTCACAATGTCAAAAGATGGAGTGGAGAAGACAACCTTCCGTTGTTTCTTCGTCTTTGGTGTTTTCGCTTGTTGTTCCTATGGAGGATTACAAATAAGAGTTAAAAGTGTTTTATATTTGGTGTTTGCTACTTTGTTATATTTGAATGTTTTATACTTAGCCACATTTTTAAAAAATGTATAGCAGATTTTAAAAAATTACAAAGCAATATATGAACACAGGTTCATTGTACATATTCCCACAATACAGGAGTATATGGAAGTAGACTTTGCACAGTAGAAATTCTGATAAATTTAGACAGAAATAACTTCCGTTTTGAGAAAAGCAGCACTGGAGATGTGCTGAATCATAGTGTCAACACACAGAGATAATAGTTTTTGTTGTTGGGTTTCTTTGCCAGCTCATGCTGGTTTGTATCAGAATAGCTACTCATATTGTTTAAGAAATGTGCATGACCAAGAGGAATGCAGCTTTATATTATGTGAGGTATATACCAAAGCTGTTTGAGCTCTGAACTTGTAGATGAGGGAAATTGTACTTATGGAAGTAGAATGACTTATAAGTTGTCCAAAACAATGAATTTGGTACAAGTTAAACTTACAGTCTCTGCAGGAGCATTTTTTTCTTTAGCCATCTTAGATGTGTTTTTCATTTTTTCACTTTTCGCTTCAGCTTTCTTGCCTGGCCTGCGCAGAGGCTTAACTTGAGCTTGTTGTTGGGACCAAGACAAAGTTTGGACTCGTGCGAGAGATGAAGAATGCCTAAAAGTGTTTTTATTATAGACAGAAAAATGGCATAAAATAAAATTTAAATATAAAGCAAATTCCAAGTGTTATTAAAGCATCCTCTAGCAAATATAGAATTGCCCTCAGCACTAGCAGCAATGTTGCATGGAAAATTGTTTTTAGGCCAAAATTATTATTTCTGTTTCAGTTACATTGCAGAGTTCTTTATCTGCCACTTAAAAAGGTATATAGCTGATACTGAAGCTGTCATCAAGATGATGAGGATGAAAATTATAAAACATGGTATCAACTTAAGATCAGCCTTTTCCATAAAATATTGTGAATATTTGAATCTTTGAAAAATGCTATATACTAATACAAAAAAAGCATTCAATTTCATAATGTTTGGGGGAACAAACCTGTTTTTGACAGTGTTGGGTCAGACACAGTTGGTGCCATGCCCAGTGTCCTCTTAGCCTTAGCCCTGCAGGGCACACCGGCCCAACTTCCAACTACCAGCTCTGGGCTCACTCAGCCTGAGAGCTTTCTTTGCAAACAAGAGCCCACGTGCAGGGTAAGTGCCCAAGAATGAATCCCTCCCCTCCTAAGCAACTCTTCACTGATGACTGATGGGAGCTGGTGTATAAATATCCCAACTCGATTGCCCCTGCAGGATAACACTGAGTTGCATGTGTTGCACTGGCTTTGGTATTCCCAGGATGGATTAAGCTCCAGTTACCCACAGTGGTAACTTGCTTGCTAACACACATTGTTTTGGCCGTCTGCCCTTCCCTGTCTCACTTCTCTATCACCCCGCATCAGCAGTTCCTGGGATCACCTCCCAAATAAACTACTCATACTCAAACCCTTCTCTCAAAGTTTGTTTCTGGGAGATCTCAAACGAAGACTGCGCTCAAAGAAGTCTTTAAGAAAGCATTTTCCCTTTCCAATTGATTTAGAATTTGGCTACTTATTTGGCTCTTTAAGTGACTCATTCTTGGATAATCAGTAGTATGAGTCCAAATAGAAGGGAGTGTTATATATATGGTGGCAGAGAAAATGACGTTATTTATTTGACCTTGGTGATAATAGGGGTGAGTTCTATATTTGGCACTTATATGGATGAGTTAGACAAATCTATTTCATGATGACAAACTGTTCTCTACACCAGACCATCTGTCTAGCAAATGTATAGCCTTGATCATAAAATAAATAGGCTAAATTATGGTATTGGATCAGCACCACCACTCATCTTTACTCCTTAAAAAAACCAACAACAACACAGCATGCTTGTCTGGCAGTGGGTGACCAGTGTCTTCTTTATATCCTAAAGACGTATTTTTCATTTCAAATATGACTGAGTGAAAATAGACTACTTATAGGTCCTCTTAGTCTTATTATCTTTTTCACTTTCTTAATAAAAAGTTTAATTTGTAAATTAGATGGTCTAAGTGAGACTTGGTAAAGGAAAGAAAAACGAATGCAATTGCAGCAATCATTCTGTCCATCTTGTTTCACATCTCAATACAGCATGTTTTGCTACAACATGATTTTCTATACTGTGAACCAGCTCACTTGCTATTGGTAAAAAGGGAATCATGTCACTGTAATCTATTTGCAATTTATCCACACCCAGGGGAGCTAGAAGAGCAAGAGTAGAATTATAAGCTTCAGCTCTGTGGGACCTGCACATCAAGAGCCCTCTGGGCTTGTTTATGTAAATAAAACTTAGCCTGAGCTCCTGGAAGGGGGCCCCACCCCAGAGATGCAACCCCATTTCAAAGTCCACCTCTGCTGTCGCCCACCCTACCTTTCTCCTTGAGTGGTTCTTGGTTCTTGGCAGGTCGCACTGCCTCATATGTCCTCTAAGACAACGACAATGGCCCAGGGCTCCACTTTCATCTTTACCTTCTCACTGCCCACACCCTGTTCTAATTAAATAGTCACCTGCATTTCTACGCCGCTGCTGCACATTTTTATATTTGCTAAGGTGGCTTCCAGTCACCCTGAACTGCCTTTCTGGTGGTACAAGCTGTTTCCCCAGGTACCAATTGTCCTTTTAGTTAGTGCTCTGTTGACAAAGTTGTATAAGCTTTGAGCAATCTTCCCCAACTCCAGCTTTCCCATATGTCCTATTATGATCTTTAGTGAGCTCTGCGGCAGGTTGTGAACATTTTCAGAAACACCCCTAGCCTTGTAACCCCAGTGAAGAGTCACTTTTACCTAACTTCAGAAACAATCCGCAGCTGGTGCTGACGCATCTCTTCTGTTTTTGGTCTCTGTGACAGATACTTGATTTCTTTTCGTAGACGGGCTGAGAGTACTCCAGACTGCACAAAATCAACGATGTCATACATTAACGTTGCCCTGGGAATGTTTTCAAGGGTTAATTTCCGCCAGTAATTGTTTCTACCACCAGAAGATGCAGGAATCTCATCTAGGAGACTGGAATACTAGGTGGAAAAAAGCAATTAAGAATGTTTGGTCTCGAAGTTTCTAGACCCTTTTCCTAAGGTTCCACTCATAGGTCACACCTCATTTAACAAGTATCCCTAAAGCCTCCCTCTGAACTTTAGCAGCACTGCTCTTCGATGAATTGCATTATTGACTATCAATGCTTTAGCTCTCTCTGTGTACATTTTAGCTCCTCTACTGGAGGTAGGCCTTTGCCACACAGTATTTTTTTTTTCATAGGATCACACTCCCTAAACATTTATTTAATACATACACTTTTTAAAAAGATTTATTTATGCATACAGAACTGGGGTACAGGTGAGGTGAGAGGATTTATCAGAGACAGAGTGGGGAGCAGAGTAGGCTGCTGAGGGGAGCAGCGGGCGAGACAGGAGAGGTTTGCTGCACCATGTGGGTCACCTCCAGGGCCAGGGATTGAACTCGCACTGCAGCAGCTGGAGGGCCCAAATGCATACACTTTTTTTGCATTATTAAAATCCAGGTTTGTTTTTAGCTCTTGCTTGTCGAGGATTATTAATGCACATTTAATGGCAAATATAATTCAGAAAAACTAAAGTCTGAATAGCCTAAACATTGACAATAGCTATGTGATAGGCATATATGGTAGCTCTTGTTCATGACATGCTTCAGCTGAGAGGACATTTGTTCAAACTTTTTTCAAAAACATGCCTTTTTAATTCTATATTTTTACATCAAGCACTTCAGCAAAAAACAATATAATGATTTCAAAATGTAACCCCTGGATTCAATCCATATTCTTTATAATTACACTTAATTAGTATTTAGCAATGTACACAGAATTTAAATTAGCTAACAAAAGAAAAGAAGTAAAATAAGTATATAAACTACAAATCTTAGGAATGGGGAACATGCATGTTCAGTTAACTCACTTTGAAGTGCTCCTTGGAAGCAGGTGGATGTGGTTTGATTATAGGATATACAAACATTCTTCAACACAAAAAGTTCATCTCTGGTGCTAAGTGGTGGATTTCACTATTTTAATTTAGAATATGTGTAGAAATCACACTAATTATTTCAAAGATCAAACTTTGAATTAAAAAATGCTAATAATAATATATGATCCATTCAACCTTATAAGTGTTCATTTAAGAGATAGGAATAGGGCAGAAGAAGGTAAGATCCTAGGAAATGGAATAACTGATAGGTATTGGGGTATACCATCCCCATATACAAACTCTCAGCCCGCACACATACAGCAGTCCTCCCTTTATATCATTTAGGCCCGAATTTCCATTATCACCATTTAATTGAATCATCCCAGTCCTCCAACAACATGCTTCAAATTTTAGTTACCACAATAATAACTATTAATTGCATAAAGTATAAACTCTTGCTAGCTCCTTCATGCATAGATCATGTTCTAAATCACAGATCTGCATGGCGATTAGCGACATGCAGTGTGTGGCAGTGATTAGTCACTGGGAAGATTCCACACACAGACAGCAAAGATGTAGCAGTGTTGCCTCTTGGTCTCCTGATTATAACCCCCTGCGATGTTTTGTGAAAAATATATAATCAAAAAAGGGAATAGGCTCATAGGAAAAAGTGGTAATGCTGGAAATGAAATTCAAATCAGATGTAAAAGTAGTTCTAGAAGGAAGAGGTGGCCGGGCAGATTGACACTGTCATCGTTCAAGAGACTGCTGATAGACACCTAGAGGAACATGGCAAAGATGAACTTAGCAACATAAATTAGGAAAGTGGCTGTGACAGAAAGGATGAAGCTACCCCAGAGGGACATTTCACATGAAAGGAAATGTGAGATATTTTACAACATTTAAAGGGCAAAGGATAAAATGTTGGTGGGTGATCCAAACTTAGACAAGAGTATGACAATTGAGGCATTGTAAATGACATATGAACAAGAAGACCAGTACTGTTAAAACTACTCTCGACAACTTGCTTTTTCTACAGCTTTATTGAGATTCATTGCCATTCACCCATTTGAAGAGAACAATTCATGGGTTTTTAGGATATTCACTACTATGTTTTTGACAAAGAAATTCTCAGTGTTTCTAACGGTTTAAATTATAGTGCACTAAATAAATGTCTTGCCTTTTTCATTTTCTTATATATTGATAACATATAGTAAGGGAGTTCTTAACATTATAGAAAAATTTTAAAGGTCGTGGAACAATCATGATTTACATTGATTATTAAGTTGTTTTGTGTGTTGGTGGTTTGCATAGTTATTTCATGGCTCTGAACTACTGTGCAGTGAAGACTGCCTGCATATTTTATCTCCTGAGAGTGAAAAAGTAAAATGGCAGAACATCTCAAACTGTCATTGATTTGCTCTGCACAAAGCTGCATGATCTTGGGCAAGTTATTTTTTAAATTGTATTTCTGAAATTGAGGTAACATTAGTTTACAACACAGCATGTGATTCAGGGGTACAGGTTCACATCTGTTCAGATGTACGTTAATACACCACATCCACCACCAAGACACCCACAGACCTCCACATTATCCATTTGGGGAGCTTGGGAGAGTTTTTAAAAAATCTCATTCCAGACTACTTACCTCACTGTTAAAAGGAGCCTCATAATTTAAAAACTTGAAGACTAAAGGAGATAATATGCCTATACTGAGCTAAGACATCAATTAGATCTCAGTTTGATAAAGAATTTAAAACAGCCTGTGTCTATGTAAAGTTTCCACAAATGTCAGTGTCTGTTGTATCTCTCCAGCATGTCTATAAGGGGACCCTGCACTGTGGCTCTAACCCTTGACATAGTCATTATCTGAAAGTATGTGACCTATGTCTTCAGTAAAGCTAGCTGGCATCCCCAAGCTCTACTTAATTTCTGGTCCAATTCCCTAATCATCTAGGTTAAGGTACCAAAGGAAAAAAAACATAATTGGGAATCTCTAAGGCGCTGCGTTACTTTCCTGCTTCACACTGAAGCAGATGAATGAATGTGAAGGCTATATTAGAAGTGAGTATTGTGGGGTCCCTTGTCTTTAAAATGGTCAAGTAGGGGTAGTAATAAGGCTATCTCTTAGGACTGTCAAGAGAATAAAAGGAGTTGGCACTACGTTGGCATTTGCTTTTACTGTTCAGTTATCTAAGTTCCGTGATTCAGCACTGCTGTCCATCCAGTTATGCAAACCTAAAACCTAGCCACTAGCTGGACACTTTCCTTTAGCTCAACGACAAGGACAATAGCCCAGTCCTTTAGCCCAGTCCCTCATTCTGGTCTGTCACCAAGGTCCACAGCTTTATTCTCTAATTAATTCTTTCATCTCCAGCCTCACAGCCCTACACCAAGATAGCACCATTTCTCCTAAAACATTGCAGGAAATTTCAAACTAGGCGAAAGATTTTGCTATTCTCTAATCTATTTTCCATACTCAGGTGAATCTCTTCACTCATTAGATGTCCTTGCTTAAAACAATGCTCCAGTTTCTCCTTGTACACAGAATCAAAACCAACCAACAACCCTTACTATGGCATAAAGCCCCTCATGATAATTCCTTACCAGCCCCGAGCCTGACTGCTTACCACACCCTTCCTGCACTCTCCAGTCCTGCAGACCTGCTTTTAGGCCCTGGAGCTTGCCCTGCCATAGAGCATCGGCCTGGGAGGAGCTACCAGCTCAGTCCCAGCCTGAGACTCTAACACACTGACTAGCCACTTCACATTTGTCCTTGCTCGCAGGCCCCTGGTTGTCTGGTTGAGGTATGATGGGGTCACAACCTGTGCTGGGAAGCAGGGTTCCTACCACATCAACCCTGCTTGTTCTAAGAAAACCATCATGGTAAATTACCCTCTTTCCCATGATCAGCAATTGCTTTAGGGAGAGCATGTGATCCACTTCTGACCAATAGGATCTGCTGGGAATCTTTTGGGGACATCTGGGAAAGATTTTTTCTGCTTGAGATAGAAAGATTCTAGGAGCCCCCTTTCTCCTGCCATTGAATGTGGTTGACAGTGTAGTAGGCATCTTGTTACCATGTGAAGGAAGTAAAGGAAACTATGGAGAGACTGACACAGATGTCCTTGGGCAGCTGCGTTAGCTAGCCCTGCACCTGCCTACGGAGGGACTTCCTGCTTCAGCCTCGTGTTTGGGAATATTCTGCTACTTGTGGCAGAAAACATCCAAGCTATAGCAGACTCCTTCTTACTCCATCATATTCCTGTCATGCCCTCCGTTAGCTACGAGAAAGTTCACATAATATATAATGCACCATATTAAATGTGTAATTCAGTGGTTTTCTAGTAAATTCACACTACATAGCACGACTGCATGATTCTAAAACATTTCTATCACCCCAAAAGAAGTCCCACATCCCTTAACTATCACTCCCCTGACAGAAAAAGTGGCGTATTATGTGATTTCATTAATCTGAAAGGTCCAGGATAGGCAAATCGGAGCTAAAGAAAGCAAGTTAGTGGTTGACAGGGCTGAAGTGATAACGGATTGTGGGGGGTGATTGCTAATGGATGTGATAGTTTCTTCTGGTGTGACAAAAAATGCTTCTGGAACTAGACAGTGGTGATTTTTACATAACTCTGAAGCATTGTGTAATTCAGTTTAATGCCATCGAATTGTATACTTTAAAGTGGTTAAAATGGCAAAATTTCTATTATGTATATTTTACTACACACAAAAAATGTGATTCTTCTTGGAGGATATGTTCAGGAAAGCTTTTGTTTGTTTCTTTGTTTTCAATGTGTAAATCTAAATTCCTTACTTGCATATAATCTCGTATGGTGATAACATCTATTACATCAGATATTTTGAACTTCTGGTTAAGACGTTCATCTTCCATAATTTGGTTGAAAAATTTCTTTTTCCCCACCAGTCTGTAAACATCACTTGCTGCCTATAAAGAAAGGAAGAAATATACCTTCAAAACAGTCTAAGGGCAATAATTATTAGCATCAACTTCACATATTTTTTGTGACAAATACATCAAATATTGTTCCTTTCTCCTAACAGCTTGCCAGTCAATAGAAAGACTGTTATTTACCAAGAAAAAATTACACAGAAATTTTTAAACCACTTAAGATTTGTTTCCATAACCATATCTACGTAGTCTTAAACTGTACCTAGTGCTCTGAGGATCAGCTTTTAAAATACGTTATTCTTCTTCAAAACCATTTTTCCCTTAAAAGAAAAAAACAGGCCCTCCCTGGTGGCGCAGCGGGTTAAAGCACAGCACTAAGAAGCTAAAGCCACTTCCGCATGAGTTCGATCCCTGCCTGCCCGGGAGGTGACCACATGGCGCGGCAGACCTCTCCTGACCCGCCCGCTGCTCCCCTCAGCAGTGTACTTCGTCGATCTGCCTGTTCTGCTCCCCACTCTGTCTCTGGGGAATCCTCTCATCCTCCGCATCTCTGGCCTGTACCCCAGTTCTGTATGACTAAATAAATCTTTAAAAAAAAAAAAAGAAAAAAACAAACCAGTAACATCATTTGTACTATCAATGTAGAAAACTCTTAGCTGGTTATTAAATAGGTTCCCTACAAGCTGTACTCTATTTTTTAAAAAGATTTATTTATTTTTGGCCCTTCCTGGTGGTACAGTGGGTTAAAGCACAGCACTGAGAAGCTAAAACCCCTAGAGCCCTGGAGGTGCTTCAGCATGAGTTTGATCCCCGTGCTGGAGGTGACCCACATGGCACAGCAGACCTCTCCTGTCTCACCCACTGCTCCCCTCAACAGTGTACTTCATTGATCTGCCTGTTCTGCTCCCCACTCTGTCTCTGATGAATCCTCTCATCACCCCTGCATCTCTGGCTTGTACCCCAGTTCTGTGTGCATAAATAAATTATTAAATCTTTAAAAAATTATTTTTATGCATACAAGAACTGGGGTACAGCCAGAGTTGCATGATGGTGGTGGTAAGAGGGTTCAGCAGACAAAGTAGGGAGCAGAACAGGCAGATATACTGGAATACACTGCTGAGGAGGGGAGCAGTGGGTCAGGAGAGGTCTGCTGAACCCTGTGGGTCATCTCCCTGATTGGGAATTGAACTTGTGCTGCAGTGGCTGCAGACAGTTTCATAGTGCTGTGCTTTAACCCACTGCACCACCAGGGAGGGTCTCTAAGTTGTAACTGTTTAATATGTTAGTTAATACACAGACCCCCAGTAAAAATGTGTGCTTTTTTTTTTTAGTGTTAAAAACCTGCTTTATTGGTTTAATATTTCTTGCTGTATTATTTTTCATTGAGGCAACAATGCTTCACAACATTGTATGTGATTTGGGGCACCACACTCACCATCAATAGACCGTCCATGCGGCCCTTTTTCCTCTTTGTTCCCGTCTCCCTCCGTCTCTGGCAGCTTCAATATATACACACAATAGACTAGTGCTCAGCTATAAGAAAAACTGAAATCTGAACAACGTGGATGGAATTGGAGGGGATTATGCAAAGTGACATAAATCATAAAGAAAAAGACAAATAGATACCTGCTTTCACTCACATGAGGGCTATAGAGAAACAAAACAAAGGAACAGACAAAACTAAACCAAAACAAACCCTAGAAATCCATAAAAACATGTACTTTTTGGATTGTTTAAGACCGCTCTCTCTTTCAGACTTTACTGTTTGTAGCTAGAGAGTAGCAAATGTTTTTTTTCCTCTCCTAAATGGTAATATTTTGTACTTAAGCAGCCAAGAAGGCTGAGAATCACAGAAAATAGAGGCTCAAATCTGCTCTTGTCCTGTTCACACCATGCTCTCCAGCTACATCTACCTGTGTGCTAAGAGCTGTGCAGAGACTGTGCAAGTACTCCCCATTCTCCTCAGCCCCCATAATTTGCACTGACTCCTGTGACACATATTTATACCACAGATCTGTGGATGTGGCGACAAAGGGTAGGCTGATGTGCAGTGAGGCTGGTGTAGATGAAGATTTCAATTCCCTTTCGAGTCCATATCAGAATGTATCTCAGGATGTGATATTTGTGCAACTATGGGAACTCCATGCTAAATGCTGAGATGAGGCAACAGTAGAGTGTGTGAATCAGGATCAAAACTCAGAATCCTTGTTCTTTGTAGTTAGTACACACTACATGTGTGTATCACTTGGACCTTGCTGCATTTCTATCACACTTCTCACTTCCATTATCCATGATATTCCTTTTTAATTTATTTCTTTAATTTCCAAGCTTAGACCACAGACACATATGAAAATGGCAGAAAATATCCACAGGATTACAATTTTATTCTTTTTTAAAAAAATATTTAATTATTTATGCACACAGAACTGGGGTACAGGCCAGAGGTGCAAGGGCGGTGAGTGGATTCACCAGTGACAGAGTGGGGACCAGAACAGGCAGATCAACGAAGCACACTGCTGAGGGGAGCAGCGGGCAGGTCAGGAGAGGTCTGCTGTGCCATGTGGGTCACCTCCCTGGCCCGGGATCAAACTTCTGAACTCGCACTGAAGCAGCTGTGGCCAGCTTCATAGTGCTGCGCTTTAACCCGTTGCACCACTGGGGAGGGCCCTAGAATTTTATTCTTAATGCATTAAATTGAAGGGACAGAAACTGTTCACTATAAATGGGATGGAGCCTTCTTTAGGCAGGTAGTTTTTTGTTTTCCATTTCATTAGTTTCTTTATACACTATGCACCTAAATAAAAGGCAGTCTTGGCACATTATCTCCATTATGCTTCCTTGCAGTTAATTTCCTGTGGTTTTTAATTAACCAGCCCCACAGTGACACTAAAGGAAAAGCCAAGTAGTTGTATACTGCACAGGTCTGAAAACCATATAATTTCTGCCTTGAGAATTTCCTTAGATATAACACATTTTACTTTAGCTCAAGTTACTTAGAAAAGGTATTTCCTGTCAGTTCCTCCCCACTCTACTCCACTCAGCCACCACCAGCAACCTCTCCCAGCCGAGTTTCCTTATTTGTACAGTGCCTCAGCTGTGCGGCTCAGCTGTATCAGGCTTGTCCCAGTCTCGCAGCCAAAAAAACCCCATGCCTGGCAGGAGAGGACAGGCTCTCTGCCCATTTGTGACAGGGGTTTGAAAAAAGTTTGCTCTCCAATGGCCAAGATGTTCTTTCTCAGACATCTGCCGTTTAAGGCCAGATTCAGGAAAGTCCTGGAGAGGAAGGGATGGGAAAGAAGAGGCCGGCCCCAGGAGAAAGGGAAGGGCGAAAACTAGGCAAGGATTCCAGGAGAGCAGCCAATCAGGCTAGAATTCAAGAGGCAGGTTCCATTCTTAGTGGGTGACTCAAAGGGTCAGAGGGGGCCCTCTCTGAATCTGATACCTCCCTTGATACAAGGCATCAATTTGGCCCAGAAGCCCCCACAAATCCTGCAGCTACTTGCTGGCCTATATTCCTACTTGGGCTGGTCGAGTTCCTCATATCTCAAGTCATTTCCCCACCCGGCTGGAAATTCTCGCTCACGAAGGTAGTAATCACTGGTATCCCTGTCACAGGAACAGCGCTTCTGGGTTTGGAAGAGTTCAATTAGGTACAGGCTCAGAATTAATAAAACCACTGTTTAACTGCTGGGGCGGTTTCAACCTCCAAATGTGCACAGTACAGCAGAAACACAGAGAAGTGTTCAAGTCTCAGTTCCGCTCCTGACAGCCCTCTCCAAGTTCCAGCTTCCTCATAGGCAAAATGGGAATCACGTGTACCTCCTCACAGGGGAGGGGAGTACAGGAATGGCAGCGTTTTCAGTAGGCTTTCCGAAGCCAGAGTGGTTGACAGTAGTTAGGGTTCTAGAGCCAGGCTCGCAGGCCTCAGCTCCTTCACTCTCTAGTTGGGAGACCTCACCTCAGGCAAGTTACTAAGTCTTTTGCAAAGAGATATGGATGGAGTCTACATGCTAGAGTAGTTTAAAAGAGTTAAATGGTAATGCATGGAAAATGTTTAATATTCCACTCGGTAAGGGCAGCTATTAATAATAATGTTTTTCCTTTTTACATAAATGCCCAATCCTCAAAAAGAACAGGAATCTTCAATTCGGAGTATCAGTTGCTGGATGTTAACCTTTAAGAATATCAATCACAAGAGCGGGCACATCTAAGACATATTTGTCAAATAATATTATGCTTAGGATCACCTGGGGGTCTTGAAAAAAATGCAGCTGCTGAATCAGAGGGTGGAAGCAGAGAGTCTGCATTTCTAATAAGCTCTGTGGGTCTGCTGACCACACTTTGAGTAGCAGGGTTTTAGAATATTCTAAATATAGTTGTTGGAATAACTATAGTGACAACCCTCTGCAAGTAAGTATAACTCTGAAAATAGACCATTGAAGTAGGTAACTGAAACAAGATCTCTTTTTGAACACATGGCTATCCAATTGTTCTAGCACCATCTGAACTGACCATCTGAACTGTCTTGGCACCTTATCAATGCGTGGGTCTATTTCTGAACTCTATTCTACCCCATGGGTCTGCATATCTAGGTTTACACCATACCACACCGCTGGGATGACTACAAATTTTAAGTCTTGAAATTAGATGGCGCAAATCTTCTAACTTTCTTCTTCTTTTTTAAAAAAAGATTTATTTATGCATATGGAACTGGGGTACAGGTCAGAAGAGGATTCACCAGAGACAGAGTGGGGAGCAGATGAGGAAGACTAATGAAGTACACTGCTGAGGGGAGCAGCGGGTGAGACAGGAAAGGTCTGCTGCGCCATATGGGTCACCTCCCTGGCCGGGGATCGAACTTGTGCTGCAAGAGCTGCGATAGTTTTATAGTGCTCTGCTTTAACTTATTGCGCCACCAGGGAGGCCATAACTTTGTTCTTCTTCAAACTGTTTAGGCTACTCTACATCCTTTCACTTTGCTCTGTGTGTGTGTGTGAAGAGAAGATGCGAGCAATGCAGAAAACGATAAGGAAACGAATCAGAAATGGAAATAGGACTGAGGGAAAAGATGGAACAGCAACAACCGCCTGTGAAACCACCCTCCTTTATCAGTGAACTCAGATTAAACACCCGAATGGACAAAAACTGGATTCATTTCTTGCATATGAAGTAAATTGAGGAGAATTGGGTCCATTTGCAAAAGACACAATTTCTAAGTGTTGAGTAAACTTGTAGTGATAAAAATTCCGCTTCTACAAGTTCCCTATCAACCATGATCTAAGTATTATCAGAGTTTGCTTTGAAGTTGAACTACAAAGAAAAGGAACTCCTAAACTGTTCACTGACCACTTAAAATCCATTATAATATTTACTGACAAACTCAAGCTCAATGGCATGATCATAGTGTTATAATAAGAATAAACACAATATTAAAATATATTTATGTATATATTTTCATGGGAAAAATGAAGGACCCACCAGAAATTAAAACAGTGATCAGGAGAATGAAAGTTGCAGTCTAGAGGAGAAAGACATACAAGCATATTTTCCTTTTTTTAAATCTCTAGGCTAGTTTCATTTTCCCAATAGTTACTTTGTAATTTAAATAAAAATTTATCTTACTATAAAGCATTTTAATGAGCTTGAGTAAGTACACGGTACTTTCCGGTCAAGGCTTCTAAGACTCATTTGCTCCAGCCTAGGGCCAGTACGGCCAGCAGCAGCGGGCCCGGGAGGATTTCGGTTCCTGGAAGAGCCTCGTTATATAACCTCAGGCAAGAAACAACTGATGATTTTTTACAGGGATAATTATAAGCTTATTCTGTAGATAAATATGGCATGAATTTATCCCTTGAATGTCGGATAAATACCTACTTTCACATTTGAAGTAAAATTATTTTAGAAGTGAACAAATATTAATGCTTCTGAAACACCCAATTCCATATAAAAGAACAGTTCATTTGAAACATTCCTGGAACTGAGTTAAATGTTCTCTGCTATGGCCTGAGAACACCCTGAAAAGCAGTCTGTTTTCCTTTCCCAATATTCATTAGAGAATCGATGCTGCTCATGCTGAATCTGATCAGCAACTGCCAGGCTGTGTGGTCTTCTATGCTGAACACTGGCCATTAGAGATGATTTTAGGTCGGCTGTACTTTGTGTAAAATGTTTCCAGAAGGCTACGGAAAAATAACCTTTGATGGATGGTTTATAAAAGGTGAAATATGAACGTGTACACATTTTTAAAAACTCAGCAGCAGCCAAGTCTGAGGGGGAAGCGGTGGTGAACTCTGCTGCGGATCCCTGCTAGTCACTTGCTGCCGGACTGCGGTAGCGCCAGCCGCACCCAGAAGCTGTTTAGCCAGAAGCTGGTTAGCAAGGCAAAAAACTGGCCCTCTTCAGACCACCTCTACCAGAAACTGCATTTCAACAAGATCCTCTGGTGATTCCTATGCTATTGACACAATTATGGGGAACCGTCCCGAAACATAAAAGCATGAGAACACATGTACAAGGAGTAAGTATTTTAAAGGTTCATCTTCAATAGTTTAGCACAGTATTTAAAAACCTGCCACCAGATTCAAAGAAACAACAATAAAATGTGAAAACAAGTAAAATTACATTGACCAATGTTCAGTAAAAGTTATTGAAAAGCAAGAAAAAACAAATAAAATTGCATCAACCATTTTGCATAATTTAAAGATCAGGTCAATAGGCCACGTTAGGCCGTCATTTATTTATAAAGCAATATTTAACTTTTGATGGTATATTTTTGTTTTTATTGAGGTAATGTTCACTTAACACTCTCTCTGACTGCGAGGCACAGGCTCACACCCCTTCAGATGTGTGTTACCACATCACGCCCACCACCAAGGAACCCCTGGTTCTCCACTATAGTCCACTGTCCTCCCCACAGCTTTCTCTCCTCCCCCACCCTATCCCTGATAGCCTCAATTCTCAGTCAGAGTTTTAGGTATAAACCAAAATTTTAATGCAAAGAAAACTTCTGGGCATTTTCTAAGGTTTTACATAAGCCATCCATATCAAATTTTTTTAAGTTAATAAACAAAGACATTTTGAAACATGTTGCTGAAAACATACCACCTGCCTGCTAGGCTGTTTAATGCTGAAATAAGGCTGTACACTGTGACTGCAATTCAGAAACTACATAGATGTTAAGAAGCTAAATTAACATAAAATACACGTCAGGAAACATCACCTCTATTGATGACTTTAACAAATTTTTTCCGCTGAAATACTTGTAACCATGGCCTTCGGTATGAAGAAAAATTTTAAACACAATGTAAGGTGGAAATGTTTCACCACTAAATCTGAAATAAATATCAAAAAATTAGTCATTTGGTACAAGGTTTGGGGCTTACTTACTCTTTCCCCCTGTACTCACTGTGGTTCGCATGGTTCCACGCGGGGTAAAGGCTGCAAGCACTGGGAATGAAATGGCTAACAACTTTTCTCATACTTTAGTCAGACTGGACATGTCATGGAGATGAAGGACCACTCTCAAGGCAACTTTTGGCTTCAAGAGTTGTGCTCGTCGGCTTCTTCACATAATAAATGTAAATAGGGGCCTCTGGTGGCACAGGAATTGAAGTCTCAGCACTATCAAACTACTGCCAGCCCCTGTGGCATAAATTTAATACCCAGCCAGGGAGCTGACCCACATGGCACAGCAGACCTCTCCTGTCTCTCCCGCTGCTCCCCTCAGCAGTGTATTTCAGTAGATCCACCTGTTCTGCTCTCCACTCTGTCTCTGCTGAATCCTCTCACTCCCTGTACCTCTGGCCTATACCCCAGTTCTTGTATGCATAAATAAGTAAAAGTAAATCTTTAAAAATATATAAATAAATGAATGTAAATAAGAGGAACCACGTGTACTTTGTATTTATATCCTAAGAAGCAATGAGCACTTAACAAAATTAGAAGATTTCTTCATATTAACTAAGCATTTCTTGAAATAAACCAGCATAGAAACATTACCTGAATCGAACTTTGTGTTTCATGCTACGATCTTTAATAAGCTCAGCCTCTGAGGGGCTTACTTTCTTCAAGATTTCATGTGTCACATAGAATTCCTGAAATAGATGATAGAGCTATTAATGAAAAGTGGTATCTACCCAGCTGCAATCTGCTGAAAATAACAAGACACAGCACGGACTTCTGGTTAACCATGTGCATAGCCTCAAGCAAATTACTTCACGTTTTGGCCTCTAAGTTTAGGTTTGTATCCCTCCTTGAGATCCTATTCATTGTTCTTTGCTTATGATAGTACTTTCCACAATGAATTGCGACTACCTATAAACTCATCTGTATGTCTTACTGAGCTGTAATCTTCATGAAGGCAGGGGTAGTATCTTTTTTTCTTTACCTCTCCATAAATTGTATCAAGTACAGTGCCTGGAATACAGTAGATGCTTAACAAATATTTGATATTAAACGAATCATTGTCAAATGAGATGGTTATCGTTATATGCTACTAGTTCTTAAAGCATCCTTTACATACCACACATCAGGTAAATTATGTATATACAGAGTCTCCTTTACTCCTTACAACTCAGCATTATTACTAGAATATTGTCATTTCCATTTTATAAACAAGCAGTTGAGGCTCTAGGAATGTCAGTAACTTAGCCAAGGGCATACAGATAGTAAATGGAGAAACCAGGATTCAAAGTTAACATCTGCTTGAGTCTAAAGCACCCACTCTTTCCTATGATGCTGCCTAAACTTTATGCCTCTACCATTTACATGAAAGTGTGTACTAAAGGACTCCTAAAATGACAAAGCCTTATTAATGTCAAAATAATAACTTGCAGCATTAGGATAACAGATTTTAAAAAACAGTGTAAGACTAAAATTAGAAAATCTGATGTTCCCATAATTAAATGCAAGTTTCATGTGTGAAGATAATAGAGAAAGGACCTGGAACGGCACAAGTTTACCTGGGTGGATTTTCTCTGAAGCATTCTGCTTTCACTAGTATCAAAAATGGGCCTGAGCCTCAGATGGTGAAGCAGTGGACACACTGCTCGGGCTTCATGACTTTTCATAAACTGGTAATATTCCCTTAACGTGACTATTACTAATTATAGACTACTTATAATCATGGGTGATCTTTTCAAAGATTTATTTATTTATGCATACAGAACTGGGGCACAGACCAGCGGTGCAGGGGTGGTGAGAGGATTCACCAGAGTCGGGGGGGAGGGCAGAACAGGCAGATCGATGAAGTACACTACTGAGGGGAGCAGCGGGCAGTGGGCCGGTCAGAAGAGGTCTGCCGTACCATGTGGGTCATCTCCAGGGCCTGGGATGGAACTCGTGCTGCAGTGGCTGCGGACAGCTTCACCATGCTGTGCTTTAGCCTGATGTGCCACCAGGGAAGGCCCCTCGTGGGAGATTTTATTAGGAGAAAATTTGTACCATCTACAGCAGGCTTACTACTCTGCTAGGGTTGCCAGGGTTGCGATTTTGGGGTGTGGGAGTAATGTATCTGCTTTGCTTTGTTTTTTAACTCAAATAGGACCATGTCATTCATACTGTTCTGCTCTTGTTTTTTTCACTAATGAGCTATTCCATCAATTTTCCTATTGCTGAATCATATTAATGGCTGGAAGGTTAACACTATGAACAGACCGACACTTATTTAACCAGTACCCATCCTATCCATGGTCATTCTATGGCTTACTTTCTTTGCTACTATAAACAACGCTAATGAAATTGTGTGTATATTACAGAATGAATTCCTAGATATGAAATTGTTGGGTGGGAGGTAAGGGCACTTATGATTCATAGAGATTTTTATTGTTGGAAGATCATTCTCTTACATCTTTCAATAAGAAATTAAATATTTTTTAAAAATCCACCATGTTGTGTCCAAAAAAAGAAATAATAGTACCCATAATTAAAACCAAATCTACAAATATTAATTTAGGGTGAACTCAAGAAGCCATGCCTGAACCCCATGCAATATAAAGAATTCAAATAGAAGAGATTAAAAAAGGCTATATATTTTATCTTTCATTAATAGAATTTTTAGCATAACAAGCATTAAATCTGTCAGAGAAAACAAACCCAAAATACATACCGCTGCACAAACTGTGTGCTTTAGAAGCTGAAATACCACTTTGTTGGTATAAGATATCCAAGCTTTCTGTATTGTTAGAGCTGATTTATCTCTAGGTGTTCTGAAATGAAACAACAAAAAAAGAGGTTATGACTTGTGACGTAGTTTTCACTCTCCTAAAATCTTGAGGAACTCTGAACTTGTACTTCCTCTTCCTGTACTTCCCCAGCCCCCATCCCAAAACTGACTTAATGAGGAACACTCGGATGTGGTAATTGGAACTGGTCACTTGCAGAATCTAGCCAGAATGAGGATATGAAGTATTTGAGAAGATTTCCCTAGAGATTAAAAACACATTCTGCCATAAAACTTCATCATTACAAGGCATATAAATGATAAAAAAAATGTGTGAGGAGAAAAACTTACTCATCCATCACTGAAAATGATTGTTAGTTCTTAAAAACTAGTATAACATGTTCAAGTGTTCTGATTATAGAATATGGAATAGCTGAAGTAACAGTAGGCCTAAATTCTCTTCTCAATGCAGATGATTATGGTCTAAAAATGAAACTCTTTTCTCTGATCTTTGCTTCAGCTAGGCTCATAAATCATGGTGAAGCTAGAGAATAATTCTACTTTTGCTTATATCCCGGTATCTGTACAAGTGTAGGGGTCTCCCTCCCCAAGACCATCCCACCCCATCAATATCCCTCAAGGGCTACATGCAAAGAGAATTACTTCTTCATAACATCACCACCATTTTGGCTGGCAAGATGCAGACTATAAGATGTAGAGCAGAAAAGACCTGTCCTATGGAAACAAACCTTTGAATCCCAGATGATGTGATTTATTAGTTGTTTAACCCTCAGCAAATCACTTGCATTTGTCCTGTTGCCGCTGCTTCACTTAAAACACGTAATAAGACTGCTTCACAACGTTGTGTCAGGATCAAAGACATGTGTATTAACATGCTTTCTAAATTATGAAATATCATAATTATTATTCAATCCCAAAGTAATTTAAAAACACACAAAACCCTGTCATTTATAAAAGAAGTGTTGGATGTCAGCTGAATATGTGGAAAATAGCAGTTGTGGATAATGATATAAGGCGCAGGATGGTTACTTACAGTACAGGGTTTGCTGTGATAGTACTTGACGAGTCTACTTCATGTTCTTTTCTTAAATGCGGAGTATCTGATTTTGGCATACTAGTAAGGGATGTCTTTGCGATGGGGTTCATTTTCCTTACAATGAAGTACTCTGAAAGTACATAAGTAAAGCATTTGAGGTCATAATCTAGATTATTATACTATTATTACACTTGTTTGGACAAGACTTAAATGCCATATGATTATTGCATTTATTCCAGAACCTCTTAAAAAGGAAAGCAAGATGAATCTCTTAATGTTGTTTATAATTTTCTTTGTGTACTAAAAATGTTATGAGGTATATGGGAAAGGCAAGTTGACCCTCTGCAGCCTTATCACTGGTCCCCCTGTCTCCAGTCTTTCTCCTCCTAGTCACCCTCCACATTGCAATGGGAGTTAACTTTTTTTAAAAAACAGATTTTTTATTTATTTATGCATACAGAAATGGGGTACAGGCCAGAGGAGCAGGGGCAGTGAGAGGATTCACCAGAGACAGAGTGGGGAGTAGAATAGGCAGACTGACGAAGTACACTGCTGAGCAGCGGGTGAGACAGCAGGTGGTCTGCTGTGCCATGTGGGTCACCTCTGGGGCTGGGATCGAACTTGCACTGAAGTGGCCATGGCTTGGCTTAGCTTTGCAGTGCAGCTGCTCCAACCCACTGCGCTACCAGGGTGGACCCAGGAGTTAACATTTTAGAGCAATAATCCAACTTCATCATTCCCCAGCTGAAAAATCTTTCAGGACACCTCATTTCCTCCAAGCTCCTTAGAATGGCATTCAAGTGTTTTCACAATCTAGTTCTACTCTCTTTCAAATCTCAAAATACCAACTTTCACTAGCAAGCATTCCTCTATATTCTATGAGAACAAGAACTTCTAGCCAAAATCAACGATTTACAGCTCTGTGCTTCTGACTATCCCTTTCCTCTACTTGGAATAACCTCCTTAGCACCGGCCAACATCAATTCATCTTTCAAAACCAGCTAATTGATACTTCTTCTCTGAAGTCTTCTACTTTCTCTTTTTTATAGAACTGAGCACTCTTGTCTTCCAGGGGCCATCACACTGTGTATGTTTTTCTTTTATAGTATTTCTCATATGGGTTCGTGATTTGTTTTCTGCCTGTCACCCCAACAAGCTCCTTGAGGGCAGGAGACATCTTGTTAACCATGGAAGAGCCAAGCAGGGTAGAGGGCTTTTACATGCATGTCTGAGAACTTTCTACACCAGTTTTATCATGGAATGGCTGTGATACTTTGGGTAAGTCCCTTAACCTTTTAGTAGCTCACGTCCCCCTTGGTAACATGAGAAGGTATGTTTGAAATGATCTGATTCCATCTCTAATTTTCCATCCTTTGAAGCACTAGTCTAATTTGAATGCAGTTTCTAAATTCTTAGTCATTATTTAGTCTTTTCCACTAAACCAGGGAGTCTCTAATTTTTCTTTTGGGGCCATAAACCCCTATGGACAGATCCCTTCAAAGAATTATGTTTGATTAACATGTACAAAATATTTAGGATTACAAAGGACTACAGTTATATTTGAATCATCAAAATCTTTTCCAAACCAAGAATTATAGAAAAGACTTCTTTATCATTAAATGAGAATTCTAATAACTACTGTACCTTTGAAGTAATAATGAACAGAAGTGAGATTTTAAGAAATCTGCCATGACATTAATGTAATGGCAAAATATCTGTGCTTTTTATTGATGACAAAATCACAGTTATTGCTGTTACCAATGTGTTTTATTGCTTCCATTATAACTGAAAGAAAAGTACCGTTCAGTTAGAGGTTAGTAAATATAAAGTGGTAGTTTCTTTCTCCATCCAAGTTTACATAGGCCCTGAATTAAGAACTCCTCCCTTAGCTTATCATTATATTTCATAAATGTATATATACACACAGATGTATATGTATATGTATATGTAAATGTATATGTATATGTATATGTGAGACATTCCAGCAGAACCTTCAATCTACTCAATATTTCTCCTTAGGAATGCGGTGAGATGGGGTTGGGGAAAAATATACAACTCTCTTGAGAAAGAAAAGTAGCCTTTCACATCTGGACGCTGGCCTGGCCCTCACAGCTAGGCTTTGGTACTATCCCTGCTTCCTAAAGACACCCAACCCAAAAGAAAGTCCTGCTTCCTTTAACTCCCCCCCCATATTACCCAACAGAAGCCCGACTTCTATAATAAATCTTCCTAACAACCACTTACTGAGATGCCCCACAGTTCTTCACAGCAAGGAGAAATTAACTCAACTTGTTCAACTACAGAGTTCCTAGCGATCTTTGACTGGAGGGCAGACACACCACCACACAAGCCCCAAATGGGATTTACATGATCTACTGGGTTAGGATGTAAAATGCATAATGAAACAGGAAACACATTGTAAGGCATTGTAACGATTGCTTAGGGGCGAGCATGGGGTTTAAACGCCAGCTATCTGGGTTGGGATCCTGGCTTCCTACTTTCTTTCTGTGTGACCTTGTACAAATTATGTCTCTGTACCTCAGTTGCCTTATCAGATTGGGAAGAATAATCCTGTTCAGCTACTTGGTGGTTGGAAAGATTGGTGGATATGCAAAAGGAGTTTAGATTGGAGCTGGGACAGAGTAAATGCTGTGTTAGAGCTTGTCGTTCTTTTTAATAAGATCATTATGCTATTATAATTTATTTCTATCAGTAGTAAGGGACATTAGATACCCAATGAGGGAAATAAACTAATGTACTTTAAAAGGCGCAAAGTCTGGGCCTTTCGAGACCGAAGGACGTGACCAATGGGCTTAAATTCTAAGCTCTGAAACATGCAGCCCAAGATAAAAATCGGAAGACCTTTTGTGAGGTAATTCAGGCTCCCGAGAGCCGCGGCTTCCGGCCGCGAGTCGGTCGAAGCCTCCCGAAGCCGGCCGAGCGCCCCCGCCCGGCGGCCTCGCAGCACAGGATTCCCAGCCTCCCGGCGCCCAATC